TAGTATATTTGTATGATTGGAGACTGCTCATAAAAAGTAGACTAGCATATATGAGCGGAGTTCAGGTCGTGTGTGGTACGCGTAGACGAGCTGGTTAGGTGTGTCCGTCACTGTCACCGGACCCACATACAATGGGTTTTATTTAGTCTTGCTATCGGATTAAGTCGAGTAATGGAAGCGAAAGTGAGGCGGATGCAACGGAGCAGGTACCGATAGATCCAAGTCGTAGGGCGTCAGTGGATATCGTTGTTCTGTGTGGTCATCCTTTCGTGTTTGTTGGTGGCACTAACTGCCTGACTATCAAAGCATTTCAGATAGTGGGATGTATAGTGTTCGGAGGGTTTAAAAACGTTCTGGCTGCAGTTATCGTCATGCGATTAGGATAAGTGTTTTCTAATCATCCGATGCCAACCTCCAATGGGTTTGTTTTTGGAGTTCGCATCGCATATTCCAAAAGTCAAGATAACTGAGTTATATCTTTTCTTATCATTTTTTCCTCCTTTTACAACATATCAGTAGTTCATCGTCAATGCTTATATATTGGGCATCCAACTATCATATTCGATAATTTAATCCTAATGCCCAAAATGCAACACGGAGACACACAACACATGACATTCATTTCCGTGCCCCATCTTTTATTATTCACTTGGCCAAACAGCACTGTACATTTGATAGCGCTTAAATTACTGTTTTTTTCTTTTCGGGACCTTGCCAATACAGACTTACAGCATTTGTTGGACTACGCCACCATTTTTGAGTGCACTTTGTGCTTTTTGTTAGAGGGAGCAGTTTTTAAAGGGTCTCTATACACTGACGGGTGTTTCGATGCGCTATACAATTAAGGCTTTTTGTGGATTACTCATGTGCGTCTGTATCTTTCATCCTAAGTTACGCACAGGTTAGCCTCTTCTTTAATTGTATTTTTTCGTGAATATGACATTTTTCCTTTCGTTTTTTCCCTAGTAGCCTGTTTTAGTTGGCTGCACAAATTTTTTCAGACTTGGCATGGTTCATAATTATTCTGCCTCCAGAATAAAGTTATCGTTCTGGAAAAATGAGGAACTTTACTTCAGCTATCTCTGCTGAACTCCCCGGCTTATTGCATCCGCCTTGTAGAAATGTGATATAGCGTTTTTTAGATGTTTGTTTTGTAGGCTTTCCTAAATATGGCATGACAAGATGTCAACTGCGCAGTGCATCGGTCATAAGCTGAATTGACCGTTTATCTGTAGACACTTGCGTTTGCATCACTCAGTGATATTACCATATTTAAGACGTAGCCAAAAAATAATATTTGAAAATCGAGAGGATTTAAAGAAGATTGCGGCATTTATAAGTACCCCCAAGGCAAACTATTGAGGGAGGCACAGCAACATTGGTTTGGCTGACTTCCTGTGTAGTTGAGGGGGAAATAACGGGTATTTACAGTGGGCTGACAGTAATCCGAACTGACGCAGAGGCCCAGATTGTGTGAGCTGGGGTCCAAGTTGTTGCCCCTCCATCCTCCTGATATGCTAAAATCTTGTTTGAGGGTAGATTGTGGCCAGGTGGTGTATGAGG